GGTGGAACATACGGGGAGGGACCCGGCGCGGCCGTCAGAAATCAATCCGAGGGGATGGAGCTCGGCGGTGACTCTCTCCGATCCACCTGCCAAAATCACTGCCGAGCTGTGAACCAGCCGGTGGGACAAAGGGGGAGCGGGGGCAAGGCTGCATGTGTCTTTGCTTTAAAAGAGACTGTTTTGTCTGGGGAGAAAAGTTTCCTCAGCCTCATCTTCCCTTCGGACGGGGAGGAGGCGGGCGGCAGGGCAGGCAGGACGAGGAACACCCAGAGGTGGCACCTCAGGGATGACAGTAGCCCAGGGTGCGGTGGCTTCAGCCCCCTACACCTTTACCTGCCGGATCTACCCTCAAGGCTGCGAGGGGAAGGAGTCCTCTAAACGCCCGGGCCAGGGAAGCCGAATTAACCCCCGAAGTGCGGTCACCAAACGCCCCAGGGAGGGGAAAAGGAGCGCCCCACAACCCCGGGCCCTGCAGCACGCCCAGCCCATGCCCTCCTCCCCTGGGCTAAAAAAAAAAGCGCAGGGATGAGCCCGATGCCAGCCAGGGCTGCCTCGTAGCCCCAAAAGCCCGGCTCCTGCCCCGCAGGCGGGCGGTGCTGGGGCCGCCTCTCTGCCGGGGACGGCGGGCAGAGCCGGGCTGCGGGAGCCGGGGCCCGGCCGGGGGGATTAACCCTGCGCGGGGAGCGACGGAGGCAGGGAGAAGGGGAAGATCCCAGCGGGAGGATAACAGAAACGTGGCACCCAAGTTTACCGGGAACGTTTTGCCGAAGGCCAACTTCAACTCGGATTAATTCCCCACCCCTCCCCGCAAAATAATAATAATAATAAAAAGTAGCATTTTAAATAATCGTTTCGGGGCCAGAATTGCCGTCTCCCGGAGAGGGCTCGGAGGGGCAGGGCGGCGGGGAAAGGAGAAGCGGCAGAGTCCCAGAGCCACGAAACCTTCGCGCGTCTTCCCCATCCCTCTCCCATTTTGCACGGGGCCGTCTTTGCTCCGCGTCTTCCCCCAGCAGGAGCCGACCCGGGACCGGGGGGGGGAGGGTTGGAAAGGGGCAGGGCTGGGTAATTAAATTCCGGTGCCCGGCTAATTGCTGTAACTTGACGCTAACTGCAGACGGCGGGCAGGCGCTGGGAGCGGCGGTGCGAAGCGCGCCCCGCACGGCCCATTGACCGCCCCGCGCCCCGCCCCGCCCGAGCCCGGTCCCCGCCGACCCCGGCTCGCTGGGACGAGGGCTGGGAAGCGGAGCCCCGCAGGAGCCGAGGCTTCAACTGCCGGCGGCCCCGGCGTTTCCTCGGGGCCGAATGGCCGCGGGTGCTGGCTCTCGCCTCCCCCTTCCCACCTGCCTGGAGACAGGGCCTGACCTCCCTTCTGCAAGGTCCTTGTCCCCAGGCTCTGGGGATGGGGCACGGGGGTGCGTTCCCCTTCCCTCTACTGGAGGCTGAGAGCAGCCCGGGACCCCAGGACCCGACCCCGCACAGCCTCATAGGTGGGGGGCAATGCGCCCTAGCTTTTAGGAGGCCTAAAAATGACCCACACCTGGGACACGATGCCACGGTCCCCTGCCTCTGAAATGCAAAGGGCTTGCTGTGCAACTGCAAAGTGGAAATTGCATCCCTCCCTAAACCCCTGTAGCTGGGGTACAGCTTCCCCCCACTGCCCCCGTGCCCAGCCCCTGGAGATGGGACAGGGACCGTGCTCCCTCTCTTTCGGGGTACGAAATCAGAGCTGTGCTACACCCTGGCAACTTCCCAGGGCACTTCGGCACTTGAACCCCCGAGGGGAAAAAAAACACGGGCGGGGACGGGGGTGCGGACACCGAGAGGTCCAAGGGCCACAGGCTGTGGCAGGCGGCTTCCCCCGGAGGACGGCAGCATCCCG